ACACGAAAAGTGAACACTCGTTAGCCGATATATTTTAAAATTAGTTTTCACTGAGGTCTTAATCCAAAGGTTAGTTACCCTCCCCCCGCCCCAAAGTTAGTCCTTCTTCTACCATATTTGCAAAAGGGGGCATTTGTGATGTAAAGGATCCTAAACAGACCTTCTGATAGCAGTGCCCCCTCATGATTGCTCCTCCCTCAGCCCTGCTATTGCCATGGGCCACTAGTCACCTCCTGCTTCTCACTCCGGAGAACTCTGGCCTGTAATTCACCTGCATGTAATGATGCTGTCACTCCACAGATATCAGTGAGTGAAGGAGGAACAGTACCTTTTACAACTTCTTAATTATTTTCATATGACCCTAATATGGAAAGCAGTAAGGACTGACCAGACATTACTGAATAATTAGAATATCTGAAGTAACAACAGTGGCAAAGCACATTTTTAAACATTACATTAAAAAAAAAAATACTTGTTCCTATAGTCCAAAAGCAAACCATACAAATTTAAGCTTTTCACATCTTTTTCCTCAATTTCTCTCATCTCTAAGTTCATTTCCTCTCAGAAGTTTCATCCTTAAGAAAATCCTGTGTTCTTCTTTGGGATTTGTCTCACTTTAAATACATTATATACTAGGCACAATAACTGGAAATAGCACATTTCTTAATTATATAATATTCATCATGAAATATGGAGATAAGTGAAGGAGAGCAGCTTCAGTAGTCCAAGTCTAGAAGAATACTAAAGGGGAGTGTTTGGGTATCCTGAGTATGATGCCCTTTTATATTTTCCTGCCAGCATCAGATTAATCTCTGTCTCTTTAATCTTGTGAGTTTGAGCAGTGGGTAACTAATAGATCAAACACACACAAACGCATGCCTTAAAACACTAGCAATGATTTTCAAATATACAATATTCTCACCTAGATTCTTGTTATTCAAAGTGTCATCCCATGACCCAGGAACACCAGCTTTACCAGGCAGCTTGTTCGAAATGAGAATTCTTGGACCTGACCCCTTGAATTTAAATCAGGATCCTGAGATGGTCTGTAAATATTTAAGTTGGAGAACCTGTGACCAAAATCATAGGGCAGCAAATCCGAATGCTCATTTTAGGAACCAGAAAGAGCATATATGGAGTGGTGGGAACTATAGCAAACTGGAGAGCTCATGCTTGGTCTATGAAGTACAATTGATATTCAACTTTACAGATAGTTGTCATTTAGGAAGGCAGGTTTACTGTTGCCAAATACTCTTAGATATTCTCAAGAGTGGCCAGGTCTAAAGTTTGCAGGTGGTGTCTCATGCTTTTTAACTATTGGCCATAATTTTAATTTATTTTCAATTAATACAAAACCAAATCAGGCACATGGACTACTATTTACCAATATGTAGTCAAGGTCTATGGTCAGGATAAGAAATATTTACATAGTTAAAACATATCTTCACAGAACCCTTTCCAAAAAGAAGTGAATGATACATATTTTTATGCTGACTGGTGTTACCCTACCACCACTTATATTTTTCTGTTTTCAAACTTATTCTGAGATTCTGTTCAGCCTTCAAATATGTGAAATCTCTGACTTTCACATTTTTAAATCAGAACCCATTCTTAGGGAGCTGATGCTCGTACTTCTCTCTATAAGTGGAAAAGAAGTCAGGATGAGAATGTAATGGTCTCATGTCAAAATAACTTCTAATAACTCCTAGGCTTTGGCACTTGCCCTTCTATTAATGTTAATATTAATAATATATCGATCTCAGTGGAGTTTGGGTGAGTAGTGGATGCAGATTAAATTATCTAGAGCAGTGACTCTAAAACTTGAGTGTACATCAGAATCATCTAGAAGTCTTGTTAAAATAGAATCCTAGGCTCCAACCTCAGTTTCTGATTCAGTAAGTCTGGGGCAGGGCCTAAGAATTTACATTTCTAACACATTTTGTGTTAGAATGATGCCACTGGTTCTGGGAACTCACTTTGAGAATCATTGGTCTAGAGAGGAAAAGCAGGGATTTGTTTGGCTCAGAAACATTCATGTGACTGTGCCAGTCATTAAAATATTGAACCACACAAGTTGCGCACAGAGTATTACTGTATACTTCCTGCCACCCAGCCATGCTAGTCCCTCTTTCAAGGTCCTCCAACTGGACATTCCTACATTATATCTTTAAAAGATATAATATTTGACAAAGCACTTATGGGTACATCTTTTCTTATTGGTTAACCCCTGAGTCCAGGTTTATAAGATGAAATCGTTATTATACATAAATGATTACTTGAGTTTCAGATTTCAGATTTTCAAGCAGAGCTCAAGAAATCTCCCAGGATCCAGAGATGAGTGAAGTATATGACATATCTCAATTCTCCCACACCTTATGCTGTCAAGCTGTCCTGGCCTTTCTGATGTCTCAGGGCCCTTGCACAGATGGTTCCTTCTGTCTAGAAAGTGTTTACCATCCCTCTTCGCTACTTCCTCTTACTTCAAGCTTTAGACTTTTTCAAATATCAATACTTCAGGAAAGCATTTCCTTTCCTCACAGACTCAATTCAGTTACTCTCATTCACAGCATGAACACAATTATAATTAACTAATGGCCTGATGAGCTATGTATTATTTCTGGCTCCCATTCTGAGAATGTAAGCTCTGTGACTGTAAGGGTCTATGTGGGTCTTTCTCACCTTTCCATCCATAATATTTAAGTACTCAATAATTGTACATTTAATAAGTGTATAAACCAGTTTTCCAACTCTCAACTCTCAGGCTGTATGTTCTGTAATAACAGCATTCCAGATGACCCCAGGTCAATTTGGAACCTCTATGTAACCTCTGAAATGTATATAAATCTAATTATAATGATTTTTTGGGTAATATTGTAATTGTTGATGTATCTATTTCTTTAAAAATCTCTAAGCTACTTGAAAACGAGGATAAGTATTTTCTTTTGTCCATTCCTAACAAATAGTTTCTAATATAGATATGGAGCTCAGTGAGTATTTGTTGAATGAAACATCTATCCAAAAGTAAAAAAGTAATATTTTAAAATGAAATCTCTTATTAACTAACAAATATGTGTTAGACTTGAAGCTTTTCAAGTGTCAAAGTAATAATGTGGGATTTATTCCTTCAGTTCTTGAGATGTAAGATTTTTTAGCTTAATGTAATGACAAACCAGGCAGGAAGAACAACAAACACAAGGAATGATACTACAGACAGTTCTCATAAAATCTTATTATTAGGTCAGTTCTCAAGAGATAGGTTGAACCAATAAAGTAAAAGATTTATGTACCTTGCAATGCTGGGATGGTATTCATTGCCTAAGAGGCTTAAACTAGCAACTTTCAGTTTTTACTTCCACTTAAATAAATGCTTCATCTATGTCACTTCTCATAAAAAGCAGATGTCTACATTTTTTGCTTGATAAATGAAAGCTCATTTTTATGGACTTCTGATTGCAGTGTGACTTGGAGGCCATGTGGCTCTGAAAAGTTAAAGGTCAATAAATGGTATAATCTAAATATTTTGAACACTCTATATTTTGTATGTATTTTGTATGTCTAAATGTGCTGACTAATGGAAATTTCTGGTAAAGATTTTACAAATCAGAATAGTAAATTCCTAATTCAAATTATGTCCTTATCAGTTTTATAAGATGTGTTGCAAAAATGCTTTAAATATGCCTTCATAAAGAATATTTACCGTCTACGGCCATGCTACTCTGAACAAGCCCAATCTCGTCTGATCTCGGAAGCTAAGTAGGGTCGGGCCTAGTTAGTACTTGGATGGAAGACTACCTAGAAAGACCAGATGCTGTAGGCATAAAAAATAAAAAATAAGGGATTGTAAACTGACAAGGTCCTTGCAATCTGTGAGGTCAACCAAGAGAAAAAAAAAAATTCCCAGAAAAAAAAAAAAAAAAAACAAAAAGCCTTAAAATAGGTACTAACACTTATCATTTGAGTCTCAAGTTTTTGTCAAATTAATAGATGAAAACTTCAATTTTAAATTTCATCCTCGCTATGAAGTTGTGTGATTAATAAGCAAGATATTATCTTATGTCCCTGATGCTGGAATTGTAATTGAGAAAGTTTAAGAACTTGGTTCTAGGACAGATAACTAGTCTGTGAACCCAAGCCTTTGAACTTTAAATCTATTATCCAGCCCACTATTGTGTACATCTTTGAAAAAATATTCTTTCACGTATCTATTTCTGCATAGCAAATGATTCCAAAACTCAGTTGCTGAATACAAAATTTATAATTACATCATGATTACATAGATCAGGAATATGGGCAGGGATCATCTAGGCTGCCATTTGTGATTGTGGTTGTGGTATGGCTGGGGTCACTGGGTTGCAATCAGCGGGAAATTCAACTTCTAAGGTAGCATTTTATCCTATAGTTACTCTCAACACAGTCTCTAATCATTCACTCGTCTAGTCTGGCCTTCCTTATAGCATGGCAGCTGGGTCCCAGGAGAATATAAATGCTGCCTGCTCACTTATAGCCTGCACTTGCAACTAACTGGTGCAGTGTCACTACTGCCATATTCTGTTGGTCAAAACAAATTACAAGGCCAGTTATATCCATGAGAATGGAAAATAGACTCCATCTCTTGATGGGAAGAGCGACAAAGATTTTGTGGCCCTATTTAATCATCACACATATTAAAACAAGGGAAATATAAACAGATGATTGTCAAGATATACTACTAGCTCAATTACCAGAAATGGCTCACACTTTACTTGAATGTTCAAATTTAGTTAGCTGTATGAAACTTTCTAAAAAATGGAATGTGTGAACTCTAATCAGTCAGAGAAAGAATAATGTCAGATGGTTGATTGTGGGCTCTACTTACCTTCCTTCTTAATGTCCAATAGATGCCAAACAATGTGAACATGCCATAAATTGTAAATGTCAACACTTTTGCCTAGTTATAATTTAATAATAGTAAGTAAAATTGCTTTAATAGAGGTAATAATAGACATCTTTCAAATTTTCAGTTTACATAAAGTTTTAATGGATCTCCAGAATCAGCAACTGAAAGAGTTAAATGAGTGGCTAACAAAAACAGAAGAGAGAACAAGGAAAATGGAGAAAGAACCTCTTGGACCTGATCTTGAGGACCTAAAACACCAAGTACAACAACATAAGGTTAGTATATATCGTGATATTTGCTTTCTACTGGAAAACTAACTCTTCGTGTATATGTGTATTACACATATTGTGGTTTACAGATAGGGAAGAATTAAACCTTGAGTCAAGAAGAGTTTTAAAATCATTTTTTCCTAATATTTTTTGAAATGTTTATTTTTTTTAAATACAACATAACTAAGCTTTCCATATTTGAGAAAAAAATTCAAAAATTTCTGGATGAGAGCAGTGTGGGTATGTGATTTATTAAAGTTTTGATTTCCTGGAAGAGAGCCTCTGTAGGGGTTATCCGCAATGCAAGTTTAAGTGATAGACAAGATATTTTTTTTTTACATGTTTTTACTTTCAATTCATAATATTTTGGAGCAGGCCAAGCTTGACGGAAAATTAACAACTATAGCATCTCTTTCCTATAAAACACAGCATCTATTAATTTTAATATTTCTATCTTATTTTTCTTCAGTTTATTTGTACATTTACAATTATGCTCCCTTGTTGCCAGAAAAAAAAATTATTGTTTTTGCGATTAGGATTTCTACAAGAATATTTCTGATCTGGAATTCTGAGGGTGCTTCATTCTAATAACTGTTATAAAACTATCTCTGTGCCTTGCCCAGTCCAGCAGGATACACACATACAGAGAAACCTTTGCGATTGGCCCAAGATTAAGATTACCATGTTTAGCAAATAAAAGCACAAAAAAATGTAGTTAAATTTGAATTTCAGATCAACAGCTAATATTTTTATTGTGTAAGTATGTCCCAAATTATTCATTATTTATCTGAAATTCAGAGTTTCCTGGGAATTCTGGATTTTATCTGACACCTCTACTCAGGATTTGTGGTTCATAGATTTGTGTCTTTGAAAGGAAATATGTGCTCTCTTAACACAGATTTCCTAAATCTGCATCTCAGCCATCTTTAGTCTCTCCTTTTATAACATTTTGTCAGAGTTAGCTTCACAGTTCTCTGTAGATAAAATACCTTTTTTTCTAAGTCCCGAGTTCTTTTCTTTTTTAAGGAGCTTTAGGTTTCAGTGACAAATGAGACTGGCCCTTGCTATCACTGCCCACAAAGCTGTCCTTTAGCCACAGAAGTTTAAGATCAAGCAGTTTAAGAAGAGGTATAGCTATGGTAATCCCCATCTACTACTCTACCAGGAAAAAAATAAAGCATCAACTGTATTTTAATTTTCATTTAAAAATTGTGACTAAGAGGTTAACTTGTCACATTAGAGTTTCAGTGAACATCTGATAAAGTTAGATCCAGTGCTAGATCTTGAACTGGACCGTTTGGATCATACATTCCTCTGGTAAACTCTGTGCCCGCTCTCTTCCCCTTGGTCTACACTGACAGTTGTGTACAGTTTCTGTATACACCAGTGGCTTCTCTCCATCTGAGGGAATTTGCTGGCTGTGGAAAAATCTCAGTCAATTTGAGGGTGGGCAGAAAGAGGAGTTAGTGTTGTCAGAGCTGCCATTAACAACAGGGATGGGTATTGATGGATCAAACACCCCAGAATCCTTGCCGAGATGTCTGTCAATTCCTACAGTCTCTCAGAGGTTTCTCAGCAAAACTGGGCCCCAGATATCCATGCAGTAACCTGTCTCATGTTACTATCCTCTCATAATGTCCCTTGATATACCTTTCCCAAATAAACTATTTGTACCTAAATCCATGGCTCAGAGTTTGTTTAGGGGAGGAACTCAACTTATGACAACCTTCTGGCCCTGGAAGCCAGAGTACTAGCCCAGCTTTACCACTAACTAAATCTGTGATTTTCAAAAATTACTTAGTCTCTCAGGTTCTCCATATCCTTACTTTGGAAATAAAAGTGTGAGCCAGTTGGTTTCTGATGTTCCTTCTAATCATAGCTTTAAAGTTTCTATTAGTTTTGGACTGTGAGGCACTTCAGGAAAAGTTAAGACTAGGGCCAGTAACATTGAACATCAGAGGGAAGGATGTTGGCATTGGATGCCTGGGTTCTAAGGGGGAAGCCAAGATGAAGGACTCCAAAAGAGACATGGCAGAAGAATGGTGGAGTAGCCATAAGTGTGAATGACTTAGGCCATTCACAACAAACTGAGGAAAGGTCTCAGCTTGAATCTCTGAACAGATTCTTATAAGGTTAGACAGACCACCCACGATCTTCAAATCTGACAATTACCTGAAATGATTTGCACTTTTCTCTGGAAGATAGAGAGTGAACAGAATGGAAAATATTTGACTAATATTGTCATAAAATTTGAATAGATTGTCTATTACTTGAAAATATACCATCTCTGGTGAGTATGGAATTGCTATGAAGAGAATAATTTGAAACAAAAAGAAAGCAACAGGATGATTTGCAAGTTGATTATGTAATCTTTTATATCTAGGACTTATTCATATAAGTACATAAAAGGAAACAGAAAGAATTGGTTTGCTGGCTCAGAGAGTGAGGCTAACTTCCACCTTTAACTGTTTTAACCTACTTCAGGATAGATTATTTTTAATAAAATTAAGACAGAGGAAACACATAACCAGGAGAAAGCCTGACCATCAATAATACTCTTTTTGTTACTTGAATTAATTATTGTGAAAAGAAAATGATTTAACAATATCAAACAATTTATAAAGGAGTTAAGGAGTGAAATTTTTGTTTGTCTTGCCATGTTTCGTAAAACAGAAGCTCAATGTTCTGTTTCTTTAGGTAACTGAATTCAATCTAAAGCCTTATTTAAATAGTCATTGATTCGCTTTGCAGCTTTTATTCTCCAAAAGTGAATGAAAATAAGATTTCTTCTCTGACAACAAAATACATCAGTAACCTTGGAATAGTCAAAAAAGCAACCCCACCCTGCTACATGGCCGCAGCTCTCACCTAATATATCAATAAGGTTTTTTAATTTTGTGTAGATAGATATTAAATTCTTGAGTCAGCCTCATTGTTTTCCCCTACAAGTTGATTACAGATGACAAGATTAAAGAAAAGATGCAGT